ATTGGATGTATGAGAAGCAGTTCCACGGCGATAGCAACATGTCTTGTTCACTGGTAACTGTCGGGAAGGTTGCACCTTTGCCACTGCTGAGTTGGTCAAATTGAACTCTTTCGATTGCAATGACATTTCAATTTTCATTTTGTCGAACACATAAGCTCCACCCCACGTTAATGTGCATGCCTCTCCTTGCAACAGCACCTCATGTAGACGATTGTCAGCGATTCCAGAAATCAGTTGCCGAATGAGCATATAGCCTTCGATCGTTTTATGTGGAAAGGACGAATAATCACACGGTTGTACCGGGCAATGAACTAGTTCATGGGTTCACCTAGTTCCTGATGCACGCGGTGGAAAATGTATCGCGCAATACACACATTCATTTGGTAACTCCATGTGCGATCGGGAGCACTGAAAGCTTCTTTAACCGATTTATATCCTTAAAGTCTGAAATCGTAAAACTCGCTGCCCCTCATCCCCGAGTAAATGTCAAGGCAGCTTTAATCTGTTTTCCTCACTAAGGGCTGTATGGAAAGCGCTGATAAACTCCAACTACTTTGGAAGGAAGTTTTCCAACGGAGCCCGGCATCTGAGTTTGTTCTGATCCCGTAATCAATCCCACATGGAGATGGTGCTGAACTGAAAGTTTCAGCTTTGGGCGCGAGACGCCAAATGTTGTATTAAGAAGGCAGTAGCAAAAATGCAGAGGGTTTATCTGTACTCAAACAAGGGATATCAAACTCATCATACAGAATACCCAATTCGAACCGTCTGGATTTTGCACAACCAATAAGAGGAGAGTTGCTGTGTTCAGCCAACCAATGAGCCTTGTGTAGTGATCAGGTGATGTATCGGAAAGCAACAGTTATTTTTGTCACTTTAATGATTGCGGTTTTGATACATAGAGTCATTGCATAGGCTGATGTAAACATCGTATTGCCTGCGATTACACGCAAGATCCCCAAAAGTCTTTAGCCAGCGAATCTCCATCTCTGAATGTCCACCACGGAAGAGGTAGGAGACAGAGAACAGGTAGACTTGAAACCAGCGCTTTGATGTTTTGTCACCATTTGTTAGGTTGGCCACCGTGCTTTTCCATCCAATGCGACCTTACGAAAGCGAATAGAGCGCGCCGTGTTAAACGTACCAACGACTGCGTAGGATGTGACCTACCGAGCGCAGATAGCGCAGCGATCCTCGCGTGTCGAGAGATATGCCCGTGGTACCAAGGCCGCGATGTCTAGATTTTGCTAACGGGGTGCTCCCAACTTACACGGGCCATGCCGTGCAGACAACCGCTGTCAACCGTTGTTACCTGCCTGTGCTGTTCTAATAGTCGACTCATGCAACCTCTTTCTCATACCTGCGTATCAACAAGTAAACGCGGTAATGGTTTACTCTTACACTGCCATCGATTTATCGAAAGGCCAACCGCAGTATTATGTGTTCCTATACAAACTGTTATAACAGAACATTGGTGATGAATGGTACAAAATATAGCGAAAAATTTTCCCTTCAGTTAGTGTGACGTGACGTATGAAGTATACAAGACTGAAAGTCATCCTGCAGGCTGCATCATGAAATGACTTTTTGATGTATTCTAAGAGCTGTGCACGCCACCACGCAGTTGAACGATGAGTAGAATCAAGCATGTTCAATATGGACTTCAGGCACTTTGGGTAAATCATAATGTCTTTTAGTCATGTTACCTGAGCAAATCGCATTAGACGGTTCCGAGAAACACAATGGATTTACAATCGTCTTTTTGTTTGGAACCGCATGGTCGTTCTGTATATTCTACTTTCGGAATTACTGTGATCGTTGAGGATAACCATCCTAGTTTACATAACAAAATTTCTTTTCATTTGGCACTATTCCTACTCTTCTAACCGACTTGGAGAGCAACATATTCTCGCTTAACTGACGCGCTTTGATAACAGCTAAGTACTTGCTTGTTAACAGATGCTTGCCTCTGGCTTTATACTTCAGATACTAGCAAAATATCCTGGAATCTGAGATGTAAAATTTGCTGAGAAGAGCGTGGGTATAGGCACCTGAGGATACGCATTTTAAAATCAAACTTTCAACTCTGATTAACTTGTATTATCATGAAGAAAGAAAAAGTTACACCATGCGAAAGTATCTTAACTGTGGCTTTATATAAATGTAGTAAAGAATTCGTTTAGTTATTCCGAGTATCACGAAACCAGCGTACTTTTAGGCGTCTCGGGGACAATCAATGAGTCAAGTCCTCCATACCAGCTAGGTCGTTGAACTACCACTCTTCATTGACTCTAGTAAATATCACTCATTAGCAGTATATTTGATGATGATGAACCTTGGGAAAATAAATTGTTCCCTGCCCATTAAGTGCAGCTGTCATGGTGGTTTGATACGACAGAAACCTATATGCAAATGGCACCTTGATTGCAAAAATCGTCAAACCTATTTAAAGAGTGGGGTTGTTCGCCAGAAATACACATGGGGATAAAACTGAGAAAATTAGTAAAATACTTAAGACGAAATGTATCCGATTTAAGTTTCCGTTGTTACTTTATCCTGCTGAATGATGATCTCTTGGGCCTTGAGGCACTAAAGGTATAAATATCGGTGACATCCGTTGTTAAACCAACAAACGCAGTCAAAATGATGAACTTTGACCCTAATTCTGCTCTAGTCTTCGTAGGAATACACTCTGGTATGTATGTGGTTAGATATGCCTTTGAAAGTGGCACTAAGTGCTCTTGATAGTTGCAAGCTATCCGCCATATTTCAACTCTTGCATAGTAATCCACCACCTACATTACATATGGGGTAAAGCGTTTTGCGCTTTGGTTGCCGCGATCATTAAAGGAGTCAGGATTGGTCCTAGCTAGCATATGATGCCTTTGAAAGCACACACATAAAATATGGATTGCCTCTTGGAAATCTTAAGCAAGGCACAGAAGTAAATAACACCAGTGCTAAATTTTGGACTAAACCTGAGTAGTAATCTGTGCCGTACGGGAGCCTGGTTGTTGGGTATGAAGTTGGTATGACGAGTTTAGCCTTGGGACTTTGCTTTACTAGATCTTGCAGCTAGCCGGAGCACAAACAAAAGTGATTAGCTGTTGCTCAGAAAAGTGATCAGGAGTGTTGTTTTGTAACGTCAATGACTGCAACTGACACGCTGAGGAAGAAGAGTCGAACTAATGCCCGTTTCGATGACCCTCCGAGAACGCCAGAAGATCACATGTATACGCCACCGACGATACTGACGTGTTGGCATACAGAGGCTCCATAGAATGTCAGCTGCAAACAACTTTTGATGGGGAAACATAAGGTCATGCCCACAAAATCGCACTCTTTGGGTGATGCCGGATCTGATTGAAATAAGTGCTGAGGCCAATCAACTTCGATCGCAATTACCTATCAAGCAAAGTGCATTCCATCAAGTTAACCCTATTCTCTGCCGTGTGAAGTTTGAATTGTGCGGTGCTTCATCTAATTGAATTAGATGATCAGCAGACACTTTTATGCAGACGTGGTTACCCCAGTCATGTCATCTTAGCGATTGAACAAAGTTGATTGTACGAATCGTATACAACGGAAACGGTGGACCATAAAACATACACTGCGATCACCGTCTGGCAAGAAAGCAATTTGACAGAATAATTATAACAACTGCCTACAACCGCCATTGACTTCCTCTGAAATGTTTGGGCAGTGTGTGGAAACTCCGAAGCATGACATTTAATGCACCGGTGAACTAAAGAAAGTATACTTGCTCGAGGTTGGGATATATTGACAGTTGGGCGGGAAAGCGGATTGCCAAGGTTCGGGCGTTTGTCACGAAGCATGCATCGGAAAGACCCTGCAAGCGTGTTACCAGGGCCCAGCCGAAAGGTGATAATGATCCGACAGCAGGCGTGTTGCCAAGGCCTGACCGGATGTTGATGAAATCGCGCGTCAGACATCACGTGCGTTGCCAGGCTCCGGATAGGCGGACGAATACTGGAGTGCCCGAGCAACAAGGTGACCTGGACGGATGGAGCGGACAAGTAGGTGTGAAGCGTAGGCTTCGAGCCAAATCCGCCTGGTGACACCGACATATAAACATGAGCGTTCTCTACCCTAATAGAACTCTGGTCTGCTGAGTCTTCTTCTGTCTTCCTTCGGTCGGGTTTGCCAAGGCGTCAAACGGAGCACGCGTAAGAACGCAGATTTAACAGCAGGCGTGAATCAACCAGTCGAGAGCGAGCAGGGCCACCGCGTTATAACCTATACTGTCTGCACTAATAAACCGGATCAGTAACGTCTGAGGCTTAGATCATAAATGTTTAAAGAAAAGAAGCAACGAACACCAAGACCACAAATGCGTGCTAATCCTTTTCGCGAATAGGATTCTTAACCCAGACTAATTTCTGGCCTTGCTTTAGCTTACCGATTCGCTGAAGTTAAGCATTGCCCGTAATTCTCAGTGGAAATGCTCTTGCCTGTACGAAAAATATTTATCACCGTCTTCATCGTCATCATCCTCATTAGCGGTAGATGGAAATTCCCACATAAACCACGGCATAACAACCATCGAGTTCATAACATTTGGGCGGTAAAATATTAAACAGGATGCTGAATTATGAACCTTAAAGACCTGGAGAATTAAGACCTACACATCAGACAAACAAACGTGCATTCAGAGATAGGTTAGTGCAATACTAAGGAATCAGAGTACCTAGGTCCTTCCGGAACCAACTTCAGACCCCACGGCTGGTTCAGACAAACACTTTGATAAATTACAGGCCACGCGTGGCTTCAATATGCGTGCACACAGAAGCTACGGGGTTTGACATCCAATGACGAATGGTTGCATGCCAAATATCAGAGTTAGCGCCGATCGGAATACATGACGTCGCACTAAATTGGTTTGTGGTGAAACTTCTTGATGATTTTCTCTTTAGCTACTGATCTGATCACTTTGTATTATAATGTTGCTAATTAGTTGAACATTTCATTTCCTTCTTTAGCCACAATACGAGCGCAAGAATCTTACTTGTTCTACAACATCGTCACTTCAGTGTCCGATACTCTCGGAATGTTGAATGTGGCGATTCGGAGCATTGCAGTGTCAACGAACATACCTACGTCGTACATATTTTGTATACATCCTCCCAAGACATACTTCACACTGTCCATTTTCAGTGTGTTCATGACGATTTTGGACGTCACCTTGATATTAGACTACATGGACCCAGTGTGATGCAAATGAGTTATTAATGGTATTTCTTATTTACTATAACTATTATCGCCACAACTAGAGCGTCAGCTTATTTGTTGAATCCGAAAGTAATAAAACTGCATATAAAAGTAAGCAGCGTGCTTTCAGTCACACATACACCTACATGTTGGCAACTAGTAGTGTCTCGATCAGAAGAAGAACACTCAAAACATCCGCATAAAACGAAATGTCTTTACCTAGGTGACTAAAGTGAGACGTAACCGATTCGTTTACATTGTAGGCTTTTCTCCTCCGAGGGGATTGTTCGTTAAAATTACATCATATTGATGTCGGCAAAACCTGCCTATCGTTCCACTTCTCTTGAAGTGATGCGCATGGTGCTGTGGACCCGTGCATTTCAGAGAACTTCGCGACGACCAGTAAACTGAAGTGCGATTGTCAATGACTCGCTAATTTCAGTCGTATTCATTGGAAGAAAAAATGACTATAATAATTATCATGGCACTATGTAGGACTTTGACGTTATACTGCTTGATAAAATAACACTAAATAGAGAATCGATATAAAACTGAGTGTGGCGAAAAAGCGGGTAAGGTGGCTGAAAATTCATATACGCCAATGTTAACGAGAATACCTTAAATAACTTTGCTTCTATGCCAAATGTATAATCACTTGTAAAGCACTTTTACTAGCATTTACTGTAGTATTGTCAGTTTATCAATGTGGATTTGTGGAACATAAAGGACCACACGAGTACCCCTTTGCATGACCTGAAGTGGTAGGCGTACCGCAGTTTGAAAAGAATTGCTGTAGGCAACCATCCTGCGGGAATCATCATGGTAAAGTTGTCTCTCGCTCTTTTTCCAAGGATATTGTTTTAATTAAATGCGTTGTCCTCGTGTAGTTACTGTAGGGCGTTGAAACCATTTAAGGAGATGAAGCATTTCCCATCATCTCCAAGGTTTTCTGATAATTAAATACGGTTGGATAGTTATAGTAAAGATCACTTTAGTACGAAACTTCCGTTCATCTATATGAGTTTGATTCAGCAATTTTCTCCGCCGTTGCTGCTGCATAAAACGCTTCCCTTGTGAGTGTTTAGCAATACGGAGACGCGAAAGTATATCCATGAAACTGCAAGAACGCAAGGTTGGGAATAGGACACTTTCGGTAAATTTTTATCCCAGATATATTGGAGGTTGAAAGGAAGCGCCCACTTTAAAAGCTGCAACGAAAAGGTTACCCAACATCGTTCATCTGAAAAACGCAGTGAATGACGTTTGTCGTAAAGTGTTTACAACCATTCCCAAGGAAGATGTGTTTGTATTAGTTCCGTTCAAGGGAGGTACTTTTCCATTTCGAAACAAAAGTTTCCAGTGTAGTAGCCCCAAACCCCAGCTGCTTATTCACATGGCATCACCGATACCGCGCCGGACGTTTCCCAACATCTGAAAGACCGAGTTCTGTCGTGTTAGGTACTCGGACATATGACTAGGTGTCTGTCTGAACGGATAGCAGAGCATTGTCCCTGCGCTTTGCAATATGTACGGTTAGTTGCGTCACGATTTCCACTGTAAAACATCTGGCCAAAAGTGGACATCAAATTAAGACTGCTGATGCTTCCGAACTATTTTATGTCATACGAAATGCTACCCAAAGCGCATAGGAAATGAATGGACGGCCAAAGCCACTGCGAGTAAGCTAACTAATTGTGCTATGCAAACAGAGGGCGCTTGCTCAGGCGTTTCTTCTGCCCTGGGGCTAACGCAGTTTCAAACAGCTTTCACTCCACACGCTGACATCGACCAGATGATGGGTGAGCTACCCAGCCAGTTTAAAAGCACATGCTCTCGCTTGCGTATGTGCGTGTCTATGCATGTCTAGATGTACTGTGGTGGCAGCTAGCTGAATACTTCGACTAATTTATGGACTAAGACAGCTACATTTATGTCTCGTTGTGATTTCGCCAATCTCTACCGTCTGTTGTGGTTTATCGAAAGGGTGTTCTTCAAAACTTTGCGTTCTTGCATAGTAGAGAGATAATTCGGCATGGCAAAAACGTTCGATCCAATTTATAGAACATACAGAATAAGTTTACTCGCTAGGACTCAGAAAGTCCACGCCATTGTCATTTATTTCTCAAGCCAACCTGAGATACGCTATCAGGCCGGGTCTCCGTTGACTTTTGCTTTTCCGTAGGGCAGTTCTTGCTTTGAGAGGCATACATGGTCAGTTCAAACTGCTTGTTACACTAATGTTGACAATGGCCCTAGAATGTTGGTAAGAAAAACAGCATGAAATGTGCTGTTGCCGTAAAATGTGTCTTTGGGAACCGGCGGAATGGATTCATTGCTCGAGAACTACTGTGAGAATACCCTGCTGGGTACCAGATTCATATTCTGCTTGTTTACCAAAAGTGGCTTTGGTGAGCTTCTTGGAAACAAAACACTCTTTCGTTCCTGAAATCAATAAAGTATCGTTTTATTTCCCTTTGACTGTCCCTTAAATTGTCAGAATTTGAAAGGTGTCAATTTTGTCTTAAGCTTCGGGTAGAAAGATTAAACGAACCTCGCAATTCGAGTCCTTTTTCTATTTGTGACGTCAACAACACGAGATTAGTCATTAACATATCACAGAAACCCTTTTCTGAGATCACTACTATTGAGTTCAGCGACGCTCGGTGTATTATTAAATAAATAAATGCGTACATTTACTGACAAGCGACATATGGCTCCTTTAGTGCTAACGATCATTTGTACAGTGAACAAGTTTCTTGGTTTATGCGACATGACTTCATAATAAGAAAATAAGTTTAAATAACAGAAATTCGGATCATGAATTTTCCTTTTGGTTCTAGACCCGAGCACCTAATGCGTAAGATGTGTCGATATTTGTGTCACCAAGTTTTAGTTTTGAGACTCAGGAGAGGATAATAATAGGAAGGGGATAATAAGTTTCATGGATACAGGATTTAATTTTGTGGCTTATGTTATGATAGGGGCAAGCTGATTGTAGGCAACAAGCTCTTCATTTGTTATTTATACCAGAATCCGTCGATTATTTTAGAGATTGTTGTGAGCAAAGGATCCTCAGCATATTTCATATAAAAAGGAAAGTCTGCAGAGGAATTCGAAATGTGGCATGGTTTGCTCTCATGCGTATCTGTAAAGGCAGTTTGTTCCAAAGATCAGTGTATCACACTAGGAAGAAATTCGATCGAGTTTATGACTTGCTAGCTTTGAGGGTAATAAGTAGCCTCCATTTCGTATGGGGTAGATTGCAGTTTCCTGCAGATCAAATGCGGTGCTGGTTGCATAGTCCTCTGTGAATTACGTTAAGGAAGCGAAGAATGTTGCTCTTTAAGCGTTTCAGCCAAAGAGAAACAATTTGGGCTATTTGACAACGATCACAATAACTCAGGTTTGAGCAGCTTTCCATTATCAGCTTCGTAAATGACGTTTGGACATTTTCCAGAGCTATTCTGTTTTTCTTACTCAATTGGCTGTGAACGATAGTAGAGGACTCCAGAGTCAGGTCGTACTTTTATTTTGAATGACTGAAGTCGTGCTCCAGGCAGGGAGAAAGTTTTAGTGATATATCCGCATAACTGCCTTGCTTTTGCAAGCTGGTAAAGCACATATTCGGAGAAATTGAAAGAGCTAGAGCACCTAATTCCTAAATCTCGAACTGAATCAGACTTTGGGATCATGTTTCCCGCAAGTATGATAGAGCCTTCTGGAATACGGCATGTCTACCCAAGTACTTGGGTTTTAACGCAGGGAACTTCAACAAACGTTCACCAGGTATAAAGTGTGCAGATAGGTCTTCATAGTTGCCTCCTCTGCACATTTATAGTTGGTCTGAATGAAATGAGTAAACTAGTTGGGCATCATATACAAACAGAAACTGGTGTCCATGTTTGATCGGATCGCATATGTTGTGTACGTAGATTATGAAAAGTAGTGGTCTGGGAACACTTCCTTGGGAGACGTCATTTGGTTCTTTGATTTTGGCGTAGTATTGCTAAGTGATTTGAACTACCTGGGTGTTAAGTATGGCCCTTTGCAAATGGACGGAACAGAACGCGCAGGCGTAGTATGAAATCGTTTAATCAAAGTTTTCTATCTCACAGTGGTTAGAAATGCCGAAACGAAGACTATTGAAATAAACAGTTTAATGCAACGTCAATGTCAACCAATCATGTGGGCGCCTGTGTTCACGAATTAAGATTCAACTACAAACGTGACACCCCTCTCATCCGTGGTAGAGACTGCCTGCTCCGGGTTGCTACCGATCCACTGGCTTAGGAGTGAGTCATAATCGTCGTACTTGAGGTTATTCCGCATCCGTTTGCGGTTCCTGGTTTTGTAAGGCGGATTCATTGTCAGTTTTAAGAATACCAGTCGCTTTTTGATCCCACTCATGTAATTCGATTGAGCGTGGCCGGAAACGGTCAAAATGACGACGAACTACACGGCCGTCCTCCACCGGTAGCTCCGATTAGTTGTTCGTTGAGGATATGAGTATAGCATGTTGCCAGCTTTCTCCGTGAGGTAGTCGCCTGTATACCAAAACAAAATCATCGAAACTTATCTTCTGGCAACTTGTCATGCCCACACACGTTTTCCTGCTTTGGATCCATTCTCCTTCGGAGGTTCAGGAATTGTAGGTGCAGTCTCATTCGTAGTGGCCAGCCAAACATTAACTCTGCGAGTAACTTCCTGTCGAGTCAGTTGGTGTCGTGCGGCCACAGAACAGGAGCCGATCCAAATTAGTTTGCACAGTTCCATGAGTCTGCTGGAGGATGAAATCGGAGTTTCGCGTCGTCCCACACATTTACGCTTGTCCAGTCCCTGCATAAAGGTTTTTCGTTACCAACATTGCTTAGTCACCATTTCACTACACCTGTTTCTTCTACGTCCGCATTCCGCCTCCCTCCTATCAGCGGCGTCACCCCATGTTTGAATTGCGTTTTGCCCCGCCTGTCTTTCTACGGTCTTTGTGCACCCACAACCATTCGTTCACGTTTAACTTCCAATGACCTTGAAAGTACAGAATCACTCGTACTCCCATTCGTGGGTTGTACTCCTGGCAGGCGATGCGATCTGTGTCCTCAGAAGTGCTTAACGTC